ATCATTCATGCATGTCTGATCTCTAACAATGATGCTCACGAATGTTTCCAACTTTGAAAGTTCCCCTGAGTTTATGGACAATTAACTTTTAACCTTGGAAAGCCACAGAGTGGGGCTGGTAGAGGAAAATGAATTAAAGAGAGGGAGGAAGGGACTCAGTACTCACAAAGGAAGAATGCATTAATAGGTCACTCTTGGCAATGGTCTACGAGGGTGGGGAACCTGCAGCCTCAAGGCCGTTAGGTCCTCAAGTCCGGCCCTTTGTAAAGTTTGGGTTCAGCTAAAGGGCCGCACTTAAGGACACAGAGGGTCACATGTGTCCTCGAGGCCACAGACTGCCCACCCCTGGTCCCCTACTTTCTATAGTCCCTATATTAAATTGAACAATGCTGTTGAAAATCATTAGCCTTTAGAAACACGTTTTTCTCCTTCCAACCAATTGTTTCTGTTCAAAAAGAAATCATGGATCTAACTGCTGGATGTTAGCTATTAATATTAGATTATGTGGATTATTAAAGAGATAGTAAAGAAGAGCCAGCAGATTGTGCTTTCTCCACAGTTACCAATGATCCTTCTTCTTGTCTTCATTTTTTTATTCTTTTTAAAAATTGAGGTTTATTGCTCTCTTTTGTTTTCATATCACTTAGAGTTTCCCTTGTGTCCCTTCCTCACCACCTCCCAGAGTCATCTTTTATAACAAAGATTTTTTTTTAATAAAAGAAAAGGAGGAAGAGAAAAAAATTCAGGAAAACCAATAAAAAAACTGACAACAAGTTCAATGTTCCACACCTATGGACTCTCTACCTCTGCAAATGGGGGGTAGGGGAGTTTCTTCTCATATCTCTTCACTGGAACCAAGCTTACCCTATAATTTAGCAACATTCCCTTTCAATTGTTTGGTTGTGCTGATTCTTTCTCTCGACATTCTTGTGGTCATTGTATATAAACAATGAGCACTGAACTGCCAAATCTGATGGTCTTTTCTCAGGCTTTGTCCCTCTCAGCTTATCCACTAGTTGCATTTGGCACCTTTTCCTTCTGGATACTCCTTATTCTATGGGGTTTTGTGACAATCCTCTTACCTTCCTTCTCCATTCTCTTTTCTGGCTCATCCATATCTTCCCATTTCTCCCTTCCCAACATCTCTCACATTCAACTTTCTTTCCCTATTCCCAGCGTTCATCACCTCTCACACAGATTGTTGGAACAGTCTTCCAACTGGCCTTCCTTCCTCTCTTCATTGCAACCCATTCCCCACAGCTGTCAAATTGATTTTCCTTAAAGATATAATCAAATCACTCTCCTACTCAATTAACTTCTTGGCTCCCGACTGTCTCTAAGATAAAATCCCACCTTCTCTATTAGCTTTTAAAGCTCAAGACCTAGCTCCAACCTGTCTCTACAAGCTCACTGGACACTGCCATCCAGCCACACTCCTCCCTTCTCTGTGGCCTTTGAACTGGCCATTTCATCATGCCTGGAATTCACTCCCTCCACATCTCTCCTTCCTTTTAGAAGCAACCTACTCCAGTATTGTGATGTCTTTCCTGATCCCGCAACTGCTAGTGCCCTCTCTCCCTCCCAAATTACCTTGTTTTTACTACTTTGCAGATATCTGTATTTATTAAATTTGCATTTATGCTGTATATACTTATACATATGCCGATTGTTTCCCCCACTAGAATATAAGCTCCTATGAGAAGAGCTGGCTTATTCTTTGTACTTACATGCCTAGAACCTGGCACATAACGGTACTAAATAAATGCTTGCTAATTGATTGCCTTATTTCTTTTTTTTGTTTTGTTTTGTTTTGTTTTTTGCTTTTAGGCAATTGGGGTTAAGTGACTTGCCCAGGGTCACACAGCTAGTAAGTGTTAAGTGTTTGGTCTGAGGCCGGATTTGAACTCAGGTCCTCCTGACTTCAGGGCCGGTGCTCTATCCACTGTGCCTCCTAGCTGCCCCTTGATTGCCTTATTTCCTCTTTCAACAGGGTTATAAACCAGTAGAACACAGGACAGCTATTGACAATGTTTTGTTTGATTTTAGCATAGCATTGACTAACTATCTCATACCATTCTTATCCAGCAGATGGAAAGATGTAGACCAGATGATAATACAAACAGATTGATTTGGAACAGACAAACTTTTTCAGATGTCATGTAATGGTTCGATGTCAGCTTGGCAGGAGATCTCAAGTATAGCTAAAATATGGCCCCAGACACTTTACTGTGTGACCCTAGGCAAGTCACTTAACCTCTGCTGTTCTCAGTTTCCTCAATTGTTTAGTGGGGATAATAATAGCACCTCCTTCCCTAGTAAGGAGGTAAGAGTCCCTTTGTATTCTGCCCTGGTAAGACCAGGTCCCAGTGTTTTCTGTTCTGTGCTGGGCACCACAGTTTAAGAAAGACTGCTAATGTAGAGAATGCCCAGAAGGTGATGAAGAAGCATGAGTCCAAATCTTATGAGGATTACTTGAAGGTACTGGGTTTGCTTTTGTTTATGTGGGCTTTTGGGGGGGAGTGGAGCTTACAGCTTAGTCTCTGCTGCTGCTTGGTACAGACCTTTAGAGTTCTCCTCAAATGTCTCCCACGAGTCTTAGAAACAGAATTGATCTTCTCATCTGGGAACCCTCGGGTCAACCTGCACCTAGTGTTACACTCTCTCTAGCTCTCGGCCAATGAGATTCCGAAAGGACATGTTTGTCAACATCTCTGGGGCTAAGGAGCTTCTCACACAGATGAGAACTAATCTCATTCCCAGTCTGCCCAGTTTTCATTTGCTTTCTAACACAAAATTCTCCTCCTGGCATCATGGGCCAGTCTTAGCTCAGTTATTAAGTCAATCCAATGATTTAGATTCAGGTTTGGAATGCAATGAAATATGGATGAACCCCAAAATTCAATAACAAATAAATGTAATTAGAATGAGAGATTTTAGAGTATACAAGTGCTAATAAAGTAGTCGTTCCTCCTCTCAGACTTAGTCACAGCAGCAAAACTGGGTCAGAAGAATATGGAAAATTCCACCAAACCTCGGAAACACTAACTCCCCATAGGATGGGCATTTTAGGGTTTAGGCAATATGGAGGCCTCACCAAAAGTTTAGGACCTGATCTGGACCAGTCAAATCCTCAGAATAGCCTCCTTGCCCCCTTAAAGAGAAAATATCCCAGCTAAGGTAAACCAGATCATATTCCTAGCCCAGCCACCCAAGACACAAGACTTCCCCATGGACACAAGGAATGCAAAGATATACACTGAAGGCCACCCTGTAATAACAGCTCCCCCAAAAGCCACATTTTTTCCCATACAAAGACCTCACTCAGTTTTCTCTCCCTCTTTCAAGGATAATAAGACTGCTTTTTATGCTAAATGTGTTTGAAATCATTTCAAGCTGTCTTCCTATGACCTGAAATAAAACCATCAAGCTCTGAATTTGTCCATGACAACCAACTCAATCCCTTTTTGTGCTGCTGACTTACTTCTGACATTCTTCCCATATTCCATTTCAAAGGCCAGGAAAGCAGATCACTTCCTGATTAATAGCAAAATGGGCTTACCTGGGCAGCAGGAGCACACCAGCTGGAATGAAGCTTTTAAAAATCAGATAAAATCATACTCAACCTCCCCTTTTTTTTTTGAAAGCCCATCTCCTGGCTAGTTAATCAATTCCATGATTTTGACAGTGTGCTGAGAAGTATGTTATGTCCTGGTCTTATTATCCAGAGAAAGAACTGATAAAAAGAAATGTGTACAGAATAATTTTACATATATCTATACCTATTTGTATCTAATGATGGCCATCTGTAGGGCTAGGGGCAGGGGAGAAAAAAAAGAAAAGAAAAAGAAATGTACCTGATTACTTTATTATATATTTAAGAGGAATGGCAAGCTGTATATAATAGATTTGCAGTTTCAAGGGCAATCATCTTTTTTATTATACTATGTTATGGAAATGCTTGGTTTATTCCATAAATTAAAAATACAAAAAATAAGTTGTCTTAGCTATTCAGGCAAACATTTCAACAGGGTCAGGGGTTTTTGACCCTGGGCAAGTCTCAATGCCTCACTGGGCCTCAGTTTCCTTATCTATAAAATGAGAGTTAGACTTAATGACCTCAAAGTTTCCTTCCTGCTCAAAATCTCTTATTTTATAATCCTGTGACCTACTAAGCCTGAAAAAGTCAAAGACAGCCCTATTAGTCAGAGAGCCTGTGTTTCACTTGACTCACACCCATCTTCACAAGCACATTCTGCCCTCACCCACACAACTCACTTTCTCTGGGAAAGGGTTCTTACAGATCCCTAAGGGACTCCTGCAGCAAAATCCATCAGAAGGTTGTCCTGTCACCATCTCCCACTCTGCCTCATTCTCCTGTCCTGATCATTCTTATATTTCACTCAAACTCTGAAGCTCTTAGAGGCAGCTAGTCTGATGGTCTTGGAATTTAATTTTGAGTCTACTGTTGGTGTGACCCTAAACAAATCATTTCACCTCTGGTCCTCAATTTCCTCATCTGTAAAACAAGTGGATTGAATTAGATTATCTATGGACAAGACACAAACATCTATTAAGTACTTACTATGTGCCAAGCATTGGGCTAAACTCTGAGAATACAAAATACAAGAAGAAAGAAAGTAGCCCCTGCCCTCAAGGAGCTTACTCACTAATGGGAACTGAAAAGGGATTGGGAGGCTGGGGGGAAGGAGATACTTCCAAAAGGACATGGCAGCAAAATTCAGACAGTCAACAGCAAAGACAGAAGGGGAATGATAGATGACTTTCCTGGGTGTCTACTTAAAATAGAGGACCCCAGAAAGGACCAGCTAATGGCAGAAGCACGACAGCCTGGTAGACAGATATTCTAGGGCAAGAAGACTGTAGTGACCATTGGATGTTCCAGAGTGAGAAGTTTCCAGGGGCTGAGTCACAATGGCAAAGTCCAAATGTAAGAAGCAAAATGGGGGGGGGGGAGGACGCAACCCTATAACCTACCTTAAGACTCCAAATTCCATACCTCCCTCACATTAATTTATCAAGTTACCTACCTGGGAGCAAGGCACTAAGGAAATGGAACATGAGGTAGGTAGTTTCTGATGGGGTAGAGGGAAAGGTGATGGAAAGGAGATGGGACCCTGGAAAGATGGGCCACCCTAAACATCTCTGCAGGGAATGGTATGAAAGCTGGAAGTACTTAGAGGGGAGGACTCAGAAGGAAGATACAAGGAAGCAAAGGGACAAGAGGCAAACTTTCCCTACCTGGGTTTGGTCCCTGTGCTCTCTAGCCAGCCATGCTGTATCAAAGCATCCCAGTGACCCCACACATTCAAGGGAGGCACTCCAGACACACGGCCTTAAAATATTCCAGGACCAGACCTGGCCTTGCCTGCCTGATTTCTACAACTCCAAAATCTGAAATTTTTCTGGAACTGACCTTCAAAACTAAACTTGCCATAATAATTTCAGCTCAGGAGGATCCACAGCAATAGCTTTTAATCTTCCTGCCATCCCCCTTCTCCCCCCACAGTGGAAGGCAATAAAGGCCACCATCCTTGCAGGAGAATGAATCCAGAGGCCTGAAAGGAAGCTGCTATTTCTGCTAGAGGCAGTGATCTCTGGGTGAGTAGCACTGAGTCAGACTTACTACCAGGGCCTATGAAAAGAAACAGGGGCCTTCTGCTCTTCCTAAGGCTCAGCCACTGAAACTGTGGGTGTCGGTTTTTATGAACTGATGGTGCTAGGTTTCTGCTGAGACAAATACAAGACAGAGCAAGAAAGGCCAAAGAGAAGAAGAAAAGAGGAGAGAAGAAGAAAAAAGAAAAGAAAAACAAGATTTCCATTCATTTCCAGAGTCAGACACGGGAAATTCATAGAAATGGGAACGAAAGGGTCAGCTAGATGGCGCAGTGAATAGAGCTCTGGCCTTGGAGTCAGGAGGACCTGAGTTCAAATCCAGCCTCAGACACTTAACACTTACTAGCTGCATGACCCTGGGCAAGTCACTTAATCCCAATCGACTCACCAAAAAGCCAAAAAAAAAAAAGGTAAGAAAGAAATGGGAACTAAGATAGAAATTAGGTACATGAAAATCAAGCAACTGGGGAAAGGAAGGAAACAAACATTTATTAAGTGACTATTGTGTGCCAGTCATTATGCTAAGCACTTTACAAATACAATCTCATTTGAACTTCACAACAACCCCAGGAGTTGGTTCTATTATTTCCCTATTTTACAGATGAATAGGCCAAGGCAAACAGAGGTCAAATGATTTACCAGGATTATAAAGTAAGTTGTCTGAGACCAGTTTTGAACTGAAGTCTGTCTGACGCCATGCCCAGCTGAGTCATTCAGATGCCTCTTAGAAAGAGGACTACATAGCCTCAATCTTTTGTGAGATTATGCCCTAAGTCATTTTTTTTTGCTTCTCAAGGTTAACCTAAATATTAAATTTCATACTATTAAAAAATTAAAAGAAAGATTAGGGACCTTCCTGGTTGTGGCTAAAGGTTGAACTCTTAGCCAAACAAGGGTTGGAAAAAGGTAAAATGCAAAAATTTAATTACATGAAATTGAAAGGCTTTTGCATAAACAAAAGTAACGCAACTGAAATAAGATAGTTAATCATGGAGGGAAATCTTTGTATCAAATATCTCTGGTAAGGATCTATAAAAGCATGATATATAGGTAACAAATAAAACTATATATACCAAGTCATTCACCAATCAATTGATAAGGGCAAAAAGATATGAAAAATGACAACCATATATTGAATATTACTACAAATCATTAACAATAAAAGGAATGCCAAAAAATAACATTGGGGTTTCACTTCATACCCAGCAAATTGGCAAAGATATCAAAAAATGGGAAGAGTCAATGTTGGAAGAGTTGTGGAAAGACAGGCACACTAATGAAATAACATCAGAGCCATGAATTTATACAACCTTTCCAGGAAGTAATTTAGAAGTAACGAGGGAAGTGATTAAAATGTCCAACCCTGTGAAACCTAGAAATCCCACTGCTCAGTAAATACCTCAAGGAAGACAATGATAAAAAGAAATATCCCATAGACAGCGAAGTACTCATGGCAACACTGTTAGTAATAACAAATAAGCACAGGCATACCTCAGAGATATTATGGGTTCAGTTCCAGATCACCACAATAAAGAAAATATCGTGAATTTTTTTCATGATAAATATCATGAATTTTTTTGTTTCCCTGTACATATAAAAGCTGTGTTTACACTATACTGCCGTCTGTTAAGTGTGCAATAATATTATATCTAAAAAATGTACATGCCTTGATTTAAAAATGCTTTATTGTTAGAAAATGCTAACCATCATCGGAACCTTCAACAAGTCATAATCTTTTTTTTCTAGTGGAGGGTCTTGCCTCAATATTGATGGATTGCTGAAGGTTAGGGTGACTGTAGCAATTTATTAAAATAAGACAACCACGAAGTTTGCCACATCGATTGACTCTTCCTTTCATGAAAGATTTCTCTGTCGCATGTGATGCTGTTTGATAGCACTTTACACACAGAAGAACTTTCAAAATTGGAATCAGTCCTCTCAAAACCTGCTGCTGCTTTATCAAGTAAGTTTATGTAATATTCTTCAATATTATTGTCTCAGGGAATAGGGAGGTCCAAGGAGAAAGAGAGAAATGAGGGAAGAGCAGGAATTGTTCGTGGTGCCCCAAAACAATTACAATTGCAACATCAAAGATCATTGATCATAGGTCATCATAACAGGTAAAATAACAATGAAAAAATTTGAAATATTGAGAGAATGACCAAAATGTGACACAGAGACATGTGAGCACGTGCTACTGGAAAAACTGCACTGACAGATTTGCTTGACACAGGGTTGCCACAAATCTTCAATTTGTTAAAAAAAAAAAACTGCAACTTTTGTAAAGCACAATAAAGCAAAGTGAGGTATGCCTGTAGAAACAAAGCAGCCTCTCATCCATTGGGGAATGGCAAAACAGACTATGTTTCATCAATGACATGGAATATTACTCTGCTCTAAGAAATGATGAATGCAGAAAAGTACTGGGAAGACTCACCAGCTGACTGCAGGTGAAACGATTTACATAATAACTGTAACAAGAAAATGGAAAGATCAACGAAACAATTAAAACTAAATGTTGTGACATTACAAAGACCAAACTTATCCCCAAGGAGATACAAAAGGGACCTTCTCGACAACTTTTCCAATGTATTGGTTCGTTCCATTGAACTGGCTTCTTTTTCTCTTTATTATTTATCAAAGCTTTGTGGGGGGGGGGGGAAAGATGATGGGATATATTGGGAAATGTAAGGGACGTGGAAACTAAAAATTATTTAAAGGTAATTTCCTTCAAAACTAAGCCCAAACACCAATTCACATAAGGCTCTTCCCCCAGCTGCTAATGGCGTCTTTTCCTACCAAAATTACTCCACATATACATACAGATACATTGTGGCACCCCTCAATAAAATATTAGCTCCTTAAAAGCAGCAATGATTTCATTTTTGTCTATGTATCTCTAGTGTTGGCACATGGTAGATGCTTAATAGATGTTTTGTTGACTGACTGGTTAATACAGGGGATAAGGTGAAACTAGGAAGTGAATGAGTAAAGTAATAAAAATAGAATTAAAAGAATGGCGTAGGCCTGTAAGATACGCTGCCTGAAAAGTCAATGTAACACCTAAGTATAAAAACTGGACACACAATTTTTAAAAAGCCTTACCTACTTCCCAAGAGGCACATAAGATAAAATAAGTCTTTGTTCCTTTTCTGGCTTACTCAGAATCAAATGCTCAAAAAAAATCGTAGACAGAGCAGGAAGGACTCTTAAGAAAACAACTAGCTGAACTTCCTTATTTTACAAATGGAGAAACTGAGGCCCAAAGTCATACAGCCAGTAAAACCAAGATTTGAATCCAGGTCCTCTGACTCCAAAGCCATTGGTCTTTCCACTGAATTACACTGCTCATCTTTATAAGCAACATGAACCCTGCTGATATAAATTCTGTAACAATAAAAGAAAAAAATTGAAGTGGAAGAATCAGTGAAGAACTGGGCATTGTAACCCAGCAAAGAGAAGCCATAACATGATACGATAGCTCACTGTCTTCAAGAATATGAAAGGCTGCTATGTCGCAACACAGTAGAGGGATTCCACTTGTTCTATTTGGCCCTGAAGGTCATAACTAGATATAACGGTAAGGGACAAAGAGGCAAATTTAAGTTTGACATCAGGGAAAACTTTCTAATAACTAGAACCATCCACATGTGGGATGAGCTGGCTCAGAATGTGATAGGTTGCCTTCACTACAGGTTTTCAAGCAAAAGTTGGATGATCACAAGTCAGGCACATGTTCAATGGGATTTGAGTACAGGAACAAGGTGGATTCTCTCCGAACTCCCTCTGAACTCTGAGATTCTGTTATTCTATAAATCAGTGGTCCCTGTGACTCTTGTATCTTTCCACTTTGTAGAGAGAGTTGAATACTAATAAGTATTGGTTCTTTTGATACTCCAACCCAATTGTGACAAATACTTTACATCAGTCAAGTTGTTTTTTTTAAGGTAATCGGGGTTAAGTGACTTGCCCAGGGTCACACAGCTAGTAAGTACCTGAGGCTGGATTTGAAAGCAGGTCCTCCTGACTCCAGGGCCAGTGCTCTGTTTACTGAGCTCCCTAGCTTCCCCATCACTTAAATTTGTGCAGGGAATGCTGAAGGTCATTGCCTTTGTCTTTTTCCATTTTCTACTTCTTTAGCTTATTTGAAAAAGTCAGGTTTTAGAAGCTCCTAAATACCTGAAAATATAATCAGATGGAATGAGGAATGGTTGGATTGCTAGACTCAAAGAGTAGCTATTAATGGTTGGATGTCACCTTGGCAGGAGGGCTACACCTGAGGGACTCAAGGGATCTGTGCTACTTAACATTTTTATCGATGACTTGGATGAAGGTACAGATGGTATTTTCAACAAATCTGCCTGTGAAACAAAGCTGGGAGGGAGAGCTACCATGCTGGATGACAATCAGGATCCCGAGAAGATCTTGCCAGGCTAAATAGAGCACTGGGTCAGTCTAATAAAATGAAATTCAACCAGAATAAATGTAAAGTCTTCCATTTGCACACAAAAAGTCAACTTCACAAGTATAAAACAAGGGAGACAGAAAGATGACAGCTGTTCCCCAAAACATCAGGAGGTATTCAGTTCAATATGAGCCAGGACTATGACGGGGAAACCCAAAAAAGCTAACGAAGTCTCAGATTGCATTAGGAGGGGCATCGCTTCCAGGAATAGGGAGGTGATAATCCCATTGTACTTTGTCCTCCTCAGACCTCTTCTAATATTATGTACAATTCCAGGCATCACAATTTAAGAATAATTATAAGCCGGAAAATGTTCACGAGGGCCTTGAGTCCATGATATATTTGAGGGTGGCTGGAAAGAACCGGGCACCACTGATGAGAAAATATCTAAACCATTTCCAGCATATTGACATTATGGAATATTATTGTGCTATAAGAAATACTAAAAGGGACAGTGCTGGAGATAACCTGGGAAGACTTGCATGAACTGATATAGAAAGAAGTGAACAGAACCAGGATTTCCTTATACTATTTATACAATAACATTGTATCCAATGTTATTTTATACAATAACCAATCTATACAATAAAATACACAGTCTAATATTCCAGGTTACACAATATTTTATACAGTAACCAGTTACTTATGTAATAACAACAATGCTGTAAAGACAAAAAACTGTGAAAGACTTAAAAACTCTGGTCAATGCAATGACCAACCAAGATTCCACAGGACTCCGGATGAAACTTGCCGCCCATCTCCTGACAGACAGGTGATGAATGGACAGAGAGTGCAAACTGAGACACAGGTTTGGTTTGGTTTTGGACAAGGCAAATCTAAGAATTTTTTTTATTTTTTTAATTTTAATTTTTTTAACGTGAGAATGTTTTGCTCAACTGTCTGTTACAAGAGGTTTTTTATTCTTGCTTTTTCATGGGGAGGGAGAAAAGGTGGATTTTCATTCACCAAAAAACAATAAAATAAAATCTAATTTTTTTAATAGCTACTAATGGTTTAATAATCTGGTGAAAAGATAGCTGCCTTGAAACATTTGAAGGGCTGTGTTGTGTTCCATCCAGTGGTAGAATGGCTTGGCCCAAGGGGTGATGGGTTCCCCCTCCTTGGAGGTCTTTAAGCAGAGGCTGAACTAAACAATCACTTACTTGTTGGGTACGTTTTTTAGTACGGATTCCTTTCATGCATGGGTTGGGACTAGCTGACTGCTAAGGTCTCTTCCGACTCTCAAGTTCTATGATTCTCATCTGATTCTCAAATACTTGTTGTATATCTGTGACAGCGGTGTAGGAGAAAAGGAAAAGTCTGAATCAGTCTCCAGTCTGGGCAGTGTGGCAGTTGGCGGGGCAGGTTTTGATCTCTGCAGTGTTCCCATCGCCCCCTACCTCCCCTCACCCTGGCATTCAGGGAAAGAAAACATTTTAATTGAGCTCATTTAAAGTATTTCATCTCATTTCCAGGCTTTGCTGTGATGAGTAAGATTAGATTATAGGACTTAATGTGCACTGAGAGAAAAGGTCCTTTCATTTTACTCTGGGATCCAGTTTAAAACCTTAATGAACATGATGTGGGGTTTTTTGCTGATAAATACATATTTGGTGAGAAGCTCGTCCCCAGCTGGAATTCTGTTACTTCACAAAGGTTTGCTGATTCTCTTAACTAAGTCAGAAGTACTGGTAGGGAGGAGGGAGGAACCTGAATCTTTTCACCTTCATACAACAAGAGGACCCCAACAGAAAGACACAAAACCTGAAAAGGGTGCGCCAGGCAAGCAGTAAGACAGCAAGGGGATGGCCAGTGGACACAGGCAGCCACTGTTCCCCACGTGAGGACAAGGAAGCAATAAAGTAGGATCTACTCTTCTCAGGTGGATCAACTGAAGAGGAAGAATGGGAGGCCACGAACAAAAAAATGGAACAGGAGTAAGAAGGAGGGAGGGGGAGGGCAGAAAAGAAGAGCATTTATTAAGCACCTACTATATGCCAAGAACTGTGCTAAGCACTTTTTACAACTGTTATCACATTTGATCCTTACAACAACTCTGAGAGGTAGGTACTATTGTTATCCCCAAATTGAGGAATCCAGGGCAAATACAGGGGAAGAGACTTGTCCAAGGTCACAAAGCCAGAAAGTACCTGAGGATGAATTTGAACTCAGTTCTTCATGACTCTAGGTCCAGTGCTCTATCCAGTGAACCACCTCGCTGCCTCCAGGGTATCCACAGAGTACCCACATGGGATGACATGTCTCTCAAAGAACTGATGTGCCCCATGTGCTTGAATATATCCACTATTCTGCAGGTACTAATAATAAAGTGGAAGAGGTAGGAGGAGAGGAGATTATGTACACAGCTCTTCCTTCTCTCTTCTTCCTTAAAAAGAGATGGATAAGAAGATCCCTAGGCTCATATTTCTCCAAAGAAACTAGGCTGCTTCCAAGCACATCTGGAGAGCCAAAACTCGGCTGGGGAAAGTTCAAGTCTGAAGACTTTCAAACAAGTGACCAACATTACCCCTTCCTTCCTCCCTGCCCCAATTAGTTCAACAATCAAAACATTCATTAAGCACCTACTATGTGCTGAGGATTGTGCTGGAGATTAAAAAAATCCTGAGAAAGGAAAGAGGGCTGAGTGAGGCCCTTCAGCGCCAGGGGCATGCATTTCCTTGGCTCTGCAGCCTACGCATGGCCTCACTAGCAATTTATTCCAAGTTCATGGCGATTCTTTCCACTGCTATTGAGTGCATTTGTGGGAGAGTGTGACCCAGAACTGTAAGAGGAATGTTTTGCTCACAGCTCATGAGCGCTAGTTCCAGGAGTTCAGATCCAACAGATACCCAGAGACCTGGAAGTATTCCTAACAGCAATATTGTATGATAATGACTAACTCAGCAATATAATGGTCCAAGACAACTCCAAAGGACTTAAGATGAAAATCACTATCCACCTCCAGAGAAATTACTGATGGACTCTGAATGCAGATTGAAGCACAGTTTTTTTTTTACTTTCTTTATTTTTCTTCTTTTGTTTCAGAGTTTTCTGGTCTGTGTTTTCTTTTGCACCGTGGCTAATATGGAAATATGTTTTGAATGACCACACATGCATAATCTATATCAAACTGATTGCTTTCTCAAGGAGTGGGGAGAGAGGAAGGGAGAAAAGCTGGAACTCAGAATTTTAAAAATTGTATGTTAAAAAATTATTTTTACATGTAACTAGAAAAAATAAAATACAAACATTTTCACACACAAAAAAGAGGAAAAATAAGAAGAGAGCGTAATTGAAGTATTTTTAAATGCATAGAAAAGGACAGAAGCCAGAAGGAAACACAAACAGGCTCACTTTAAAAGTTACGGACTTAAATTATTATATATTTAAAGGAAAAAGCAAGCTGTACTTAGGAGATTCTCCATCTCATATGTAATCTGCTTTTTCTGTCATACTCTAAATACAGAAATGCTCATTTAATTTGGTATATATAACATACCATTTATAATATATTTAACACGTAATTTGGTTCATAATTTAAAAATTAAATCTATAAACATATATGTACATTTAAACATACATATCCACCTTTCATAGTTTGCTTCCATTGCTAAAGAGGGTTTTATCCTTTTCCTTCTGAACACTGGGCTCCCTAAAAGGCACCACACTCCCAGAAAGTCAAGGATGCCCACAGAGCCAAGGCCTCTGCACTCTCTCTGAGGAATCTGGATCTTCTGGAGAAGCCGGGATGGGATTTTATTTAGCAAGTGGGAGTAGCAGGATGCCAAAAATTCAGCACAGGAACTTACATGGGTTCTTGAAAGCAAATTAAATGGCTTCTAAATCTCCTGGATGCTCATGCCTTTCAAAAGAGCCTCTTTATTTTAATCTGCCTCATTCTCTTAGTGAGTCTTGGTCTTCATCTACAGACCTGGGAACAGTTATTAGGCACAACGCCTTCAGAGAGCTTGGCTCATTTCATCACAGCTCTGATGCTTCTTCACCGCCTCCCCCCGCTTCAGTCCACAGCATCAATCCCCCAAACCAGCTTTTAGCAGGCTTCTTATTGCCTTCTCACAAATAAAAGTTATCCCAAGCCGAAACGAATAAGGTAAGAACGACTGTAAGACGCAGGGTCTCCTGATGGATACAGCACCGGTCTCAGAGTCAGGAAGGCCTGGGATTAAGACCCACTCTAACACTTACTAGCTCTGTGACCTTGGCAAAGTCACCTGATTTCACAGGTAAATACCCCCAGTACAACTCTCAAAGAGTATAAACTGCAGAGCAAGTTTCCCCCCATGGGAGTTCACAGATCTACTTTTTTAATTATAGGCAGCTAGGTGGCGCTGCAGTGGATAGACACTTACTAGCTGTGTGAGCCTGGGCAAATCACTTAACGACGTTTGCCTCAGTTTCCTCATCTATAAAATGTGCTGAAGAAGGAAATGGTGAACCACCCCAGTATCTTTGCCAAGAAAACCCCAAATGGAGTCACAAAGAGTCAGACACGACTGAACAACAAAACCCACATTTTTTTAAAACGCTATGCATGGCTTACCAGATTGGGATGTTTCACCACTCAAATCATTTCCCTGCCAAATAATCATTTGGTCTGGAAGTCTTATGGAAGTGTGGTAGGCAGGGAAGAGTCTCTTCCTCCTTCCCAATATTTTTTATACAAGTGAATTTAGATTTTAAAAAAACAGTCCTAAAGTAGAAAGAAATCATAAAGTAAGTCAAAAAAAAAAAAGCCCTCCCAGGCTAAGGGATGATATGTGTGGATGTGGGAAGAAGCGTGAGACATAGGCTAGGTTTTTCCAAAAGAAATTTACTTGGTAACTAATAGGGGGAAAGAGCAAATAAAAAATGCAAAATGATAGCGTGAAATGTTTACTGAGCATAGAAAGCCTCCCTTAAA